AATCTCAATTAAATTCGTGTATAAATATAATTTTTTTTTTTCATTTTATAACAATATAATCTTTGAGCTAGATCACTAACCCTCTTAAAGATGACTAAATCGTCTGTTTCTAATAGCATGGATTTGGAATCAATAATTGAATACCATGAAGTAATTGCAAACTTCATATCAGAGTCTCAGTTTTGAACCTGTGAGCCAATGGGGAAAAAAGTTGATAAATATTACAGTTGATATCATTTCAATAAAGGTTTATTTTGGTATTTTCAAAGAGGGAGTTTATACATGAGACTATCCATCCAAACTGGCATTAACTGTGCAAAGAAAGGGGCTAACTTAAACCATGAATCCATACTAAATATATTTTAGTTAAAAATATCTGATTTTTCTTCAATAATTTATTTTTTATAGGTGTTTAGAATTGATGACCTATTTATCTGAAGCAAAAAACTAATAGTTATATGGTTGAAGGTTGCCTAAATAATTAATGATATATAATGGAAATACGGTGAATAAATTATTTTATAACTTAAAAACTCTGATAACATGTTCAAATTACAAAGTAATTTACTAGAAAAGTGTAAATTATGAGCATCACTAAAAGCTTTGTAACAATTTATATAATATAATAGTAATAATTAAACTTAAACATCCTTTATGATGAAAATAGTCCATTTATGTGTATTCTTATGTATATATTTTTATACACATATATTAAATTTAAAATATTTATGTACTACCCATGTATATCTGCTAGTAATTATATCACCTTCCATAACATATTGTAGGTATTTTACAAAAACCTTTTAGTTAGTAGTTATTAAATATTTCAGCAATTTATTGAAGTAAAATCATTACAATGTAAATACATATGTGTATTAAAGATGTGTTTTATATTCCTGAATTACAAGGGGAAAAAACGAAAATATACTCACTAGATTCAGAAAAATTAAAAGAGAGGGAAACGCCAGATTTAATTTTTATTTGATTGCCAACTTAACCTGACAAAGTTCATGCATTGGTGTAATTCTTAAATGCAATATTTTTCTTATACTTTATATTTCATTCTATATATTTATACATATTCCATGCATTGATGTAATTCTTAAAAGCAATATTTTCCTTATACTTTCTATTCAATATCTATTATTTTATTTGTGACAATTATTTTAATGTTTATTTTGCTTACTTGTAGTTTAGAATTCACAATACCAGCATTTATCGGTGTACGAGTAAAACCCTAAATAAAATAATGCAAAAATATATTTATAACACTGTATCTTATTAAACTCAATCACTATTTATTAAGGATTAAGCCATTCTACATTTTTCAGCAACGGTTCTCAAGCGGATCTGCAGGGGGGGGGGCTGGAGAAAAGAGGAGGGAAGAGTGGTTTTGGGCTGAAACCCTCCAAAATAGTAATATATAACCATCTCTTATGAGAACAATGTTATAAAATTATCTCTGTAATTACATTTAATAGGATTTCAAGAATCACTTAAACGCTGTTTCATAAAAATCGTTAGTTTCTTTCTTTTTCTTCCAATGTAATTATAGTTTTATATATACTAATATATATAATGGGTGATAAATCTTTAGGACGTAGTCATTATAAAGTTTTTATTAGTGCCGACGTTTCAACCGTGTTTTGAGCACTGAAGGTATTCAAGTACTCTGAATACAACAGTCTACTAACTTCCTCTAATATATATATATTAGATATTGGAAGCTCCTAAAATTACATTCTGAATCCGTTACTGGTACAGAACCATTTTCATTAAATTATTAATATCCGTCTAAAACTTCGTGAATGGCTTCGTCTTATGAATTACCTACAACGTTATTATTTAAAAAAATCTTAGAAGTGGTGCGTTTTCACATTAATTGAATTAATTAATAAGGTACCAAAAACTTATTTGAGAAATTTAGGTGACCCACAAAAATATTGGGCCTTTTGGACTATATGACCTCGTTATTTAGACATGTTGGGGGTGTAAGTCACAATATTTTTTAAGGCTATCTTTTTTTTAGATTTTGTGCTCAAATTACCTACAATTTAAGTGGAAAACAAAGTGGGTGTTCATGAGTTTTTAGTATTTCATTAAACAGACAAAGTTTGCAGATCTCCAGATTGAAAACGCTCCATTTTCGAGAATTTTCGTAAATAAAAAAATTAATTTTAGACGGATGTTAATAATAAAAAGGGTCTGTACCGCTGACTATTTGGATAAGTTGAGCATCCCTAAACTCAGTGCTGAGGTGATTGATGAGCGTTGAAAATCCATCTGACCGTTCCTAAAATCACCGATGTAACAGTGGGCTAGATCCTAAACTCAGCAGTGAGACCATTGATGAGCATTGGAAATCCATCAATCTTGCCCTTTATAATGCACGTCTTTGGAGTAAGCACACTACCAGAGAGTAGGGTGTCCCCAGTTGCGAGATATCTTTTTTTTTTGGTGAATAGTTCTTTTGGATTTCTCAACTTTCATAATACCATTTAAGATATCGGTGCTTACATTTAACTACTCCAAAAAGAACTGTACATAGTTCACTGCCTGAAATCAACTACGAATCTCATATACCGCAAATAGTTTATACAAACAGATTTTTTTAGAGCGTGTGATATGACAATCTAACCCGATTGGTTGGAGATCAAATACTTTCAAATATACATATGCTGTTCTTTTTTTAAATAATATAAAACAACCATTCCTAAAAAAAACTTAAATCTTATTAACTGTAAATGTGACTCATCTCACAGCTCTGAAGATTTGAAAAATGACGAAATATCGAAAAATCATTGTAAACTTAAAAAAGAAAATAGCGCATCATGTAGTTACCAGTAAATCTTGTAGCGTATTTATTCATAAGATTGAAAAACAAGCAAGATGGTCGTCAGTCCTCTGCGATCGAGGGGGCGCTATAGATGGAGGATAAACACTTATGCTAGTGTAATATTATTTCTTAATTTCTGAAATTACAAACCGGCTAGAGATTCGAATTTTATGGACGAGCTGAAGTTTGAAACTCGCAAAGATAAGAAAATAGGCTACTGATCCATTTGGAGGGGGCGCCTAACACAATTAGGCCCCTTTTACTTACAACTCACTTTTTCGACCCTTTTAATGCTGGCATACAAAACAACATGAAACAAATTGCATATAAACAGTAATCTGTGCCTTCATCATCATCGTCCCAACGATACAATCCTTTACTGGTTGATCCAGTCTGGATCTTTGCTACCTCAAATTATGTGATAAAATAGTCGCTGAGTTATTAATGTTTAATAATTCTTGTTTTTATGGATTACGAAAAAGGCCTTCAACACACTTAAAACGTCATAAATTGTAACATTTTTAAAGACACAAATATTAGCACTCAATCGAAATATTTTCTATTTATACTATAACTTTGTCGCCCAATTTAATCTCGGTAAAAAGTCAATACAGTCCGTGGTACAGACCCCTTTTTATCGAATTATTAACATCCATCTGAAACTTCGTAAATAGTTATATCTCATCGTAACCTATAACTATTTTATTTGCGAAAATCTGGAGGGGAGCAAACTTTGTCTAATTAATTAGGTACTAAAAATCATAAATACACATTTGCTTTCCATTTGGATCGTGAGATAATTTGGTCACAAAATCGAGAGAAAAGTTGGCCTACCAAAATATTGCGTCTTTTATTCTATACAACCTCGTTATTATAAAAATTGGGGGTGTAGGTCACGCCAAACGGGTCAATATTTTTAAAGGCCACTTTTTTTCTCGATTTTGTGACCAAATTATCTTACGATCAAAATAGGAAGCAAATGTTTATTTAAGAGTTTTTAGTATCTAATTAAATTGACAAAGCCCCCTCCAGATTGAACGCCTCTATTTCAAGCGTTTTCGTAAATAAAATAGTTGTAGGCACGGGCGGATCTACGGGGGGGGGCTTTCGGGCTGAAGCCCCCCCCCCCAAAATGGAAAAATATAACCATGTTTTATCGAACAAAATATTAAAAAAGTATCTCTTAAAGTGTTATTGTTCGTGTGATTAATATTAAAAGGGCTTTAGGAATCACTTAAACACCATTTCATACAGGTAGTTAGTTTCTTTCTTTTTTTCCAAAGTAATTATCGTTATTTTTATGAAAAAAAAGCTTTCGGGCTGAAGCCCCCCCAAAATTAAATCCTGGATCCGCTAGTGGTTGTAGGTTACGATGAGATATAACTATCTACGAAGTTTCAGGTTGATGTTAATAATTCATTAAAAAGGGATCTGTACCACGGACTAATATATAAACATTTAAGAAACAGAGCCAGATAAACAGAGATAGAGAGATTCAACAATAATATTTATCACTGCTGTAGGAGATAACTAATATTTGTAACTGGAGTGCAAGAGGTATTCTAATAGATGGGAAATGGCCAAATCGTTCAGAAAATGCTGATGACCAGATCTTATGAACAAAACCACCAAAAATACTCCAAGAAATGAAAAGGATACCTAAGAAATAGGCCTATACATAAATTTGAATAACTGTCTAGTACTGTAGGTCAATGCAGTTATTTACAATAATAGTTATTTTGTTGACTTCATTTTCGGATTGGCATTATAAGAACAAAATTATGATAAATACACAGCAAGTTTTTGTTTTTAAATACATGCAAATGCTAGTACAATAACCGTGTTCTATCGATAGTCTGAATTTTATGTTGGTTTAAAAAACAATTTAAAAATTTTTAAATTAATATATATCATATTTTTAATTTTATTGGATGATTTTAGAAATAAAAATGATAACTATTATCCACTCCACGAAAAGTAAACTCTGCAGTTTGAAGATGGCTGTGATCTCGAGAACTTCTCATCTTTGAATGATATCATTGCTTTGAATAAGGGTTTCGAGATTTTGTTTGTGAAGTTTTGTGCTATGTACATTTAATTTCAGTTCATATAAGTAGTGATTAGGGAATGACAAGGAATTGTCCTGTTTGTATTATTTAGCTACATGAATATGGCTCTTAAAACTTTCCTTTTTGTAGTTACAAATTGTTTGTTAATATTCTCTTGTTATTCTGCTCCTCAGAACCTTTCAGGTATTTCTTTGGCTAAATTTGTCTTGGATGGCAAAGAAGACTGCGGAATAGTCAATAATGACCAACATGTCAACAAACTATTTAAAATTATTTACTGTCCCAGTGAAGTTAAAACATTCTCTTCTGATTATTTTTACCAAAGAGGTTTTCTACCTTGTTTTGGTGCCTATGATTCTTTATACAATTTATGTGCTTTCCCCCATGATACTATCAATTTTACAACTCCTGAATCCTTTAAAGATCCCAAAAAATTCTGCACTGAGGCCAAAATTGTTTATGATCATCGACCATTCAAATACACAAATGATGATGTGAAAAAATGGGGTGAAGTTTTTCATTCAACTATGATAAATGAAGCCCTGTGTAACAATTTATGCGTGATTAACAATGCAATAAATGATCAGTGTATTGCAATGGTGACATTTGCTAATGAATATATTCGTTTAAAAGGTGAGTATTTCATTATAATTGAACTAAATTAAAATTGGAAAATGATCTTTCAATGTTATTCTCATGAGATTTTTTGTTTGTTTTTAGAAACTTCTGTGTCAAATAAAAAGGTTCCTATCTCTGTTGATAATAAATTACAATTTTTAAAGGACCAAACTGCAACTAATGTAACTTCAGAAGTTAAAATCGCTTCAGATACGCTTTTGAAGAATAATATTAGTAGTTTAAAAACAACAAATGCAAGTGAATCCATTAATCAAGGATCTGTGACTGATGTTACTCAGTTGAAAACAGATGCTGTTATCCAAAAAGAAACTGTAAAGGTAAATCAAAATCTTGTAGGAGAATCAAAATCTTTAGTTCAGTCAGATAGCAAATCTGCAAAACTCAGTCCAGGAGATGAGGCACATATTAATGAAGGGAACGTTCCTGAAATTGAAACACCTAATAAAGAAATGAAGCCTTCAAACGATAAAGATTTGAATGTACCCCCTGTAACTAATATAAACATTACACCCAAAGGTCCTCCAACTATATTTGATGAAGGTATCAATGATGAAAATGAAAAGGCTTTCACTGATGGCGATGATATTCGTGGTGAGAATGAAGAAGCAATACCAGGAGAAACCAAAGAAAAAGGAGAGACTGGTGAGTTATATTTTTGATTCTGTTATTTAAAAATATTATTCCTTAATTAATATTTGGTTTATTGAAAAAGTCACTTGGTATACTTTTGATGGAACTAAAATCTAAAGTACATATTTATGAATTTGGACGATAGTTAAAGCAAGAAGTCATTAGGTGCATCATATTAATGCAAATCCCATTAAATATTAAAAATAAGTGCAATATGTTCTGACTCCACAGGATCTCATGATCACACCACAAATAGAATCCCTTGGATTTCCCTAAGTAGAGGGAAGTGACCAAATATTCTGGTGAGTACTTGACCTCGCCTGAAAATGACCTGATGGTGGTTTGTTTATCCCTATTGAACGAGTGGAAGTCAAAATTAGTGAAGCAATTACAGCTAATTATCTGATTTTAACTGGAAAGTACCAGTAGGGAGTTTAGTTGTCATAAATAGCGATATGAATAAAGAGAGATTATACTGTTAATACATCAATTCCTGGTTATTCTCAAAATCTCGTTCAAAGTATGATCACGAGATCTTGGCCAAATTGAGTGGTACCTTGATCTTCCCCAAAGAAAATTCATCAAATTTCTTGTTTATTTATTTTACTAAATGTACTTAGGATGTTGTCTACCACCATAATGAGAGGTAGTATTTTTGCTTGGCACAACAATTACGATTCATCTCTTGATTTGTTTAGGTGCCATATTTTTTGTAGGTATAATGAAATTCATAGTGGTTTTTGATTATTACTGTTTATTAAAATTTCAGTTTAGGTAATCCAATACTGGTGTGATGTATCGTTGAAAGGCTTGCTAAAGTCAGTTTGAATGTCAAAACCATCCAAAAGTAGATGGTGGACAATCAAACCTTCCTGTTAATCTATAACTGTATGAACAAACCTACCGCATACAGTTAAACTATATTGCTTGCTGATCATCCATTTATTAATTTCATGTTTCTGACCAATGGCTCTTTGTACTGTTTTGAATCGGTACATTTAGGTTATAATTCACATTGATTATCATTTATAATCAGAACTATCAGTATTTTTTTAATTAATGGGCACTATAACTTTGAATAACAATATTTAAGAAGCTTGATGTTTAATTAAAGTAATATTAATTAAATTTAAGAATGAAATATTAAAGTAGTACATAAAGACCCAACTTTTTCATGTACCAAAAAGAATTAATAAATAAAGTGTTCAAGGTCGCAGGAAAGTAATTAAAGTCACAAATTCCAAGTCACAAAGTCAGAAATAAAGATGTTTACTATTGTGTTTTTATCCACTTTTAATGGTTGTTTTCTAATCCAATCTCTCTTCACCTATTTAAAAAAATCCACTTTTTTTTGCTTAAACATTTTAAAGAACATTTTGCAATCCTGTCTTAATTCATATTATATTTTACTATTGTCAGCTTTAATTTACTGCTAAAATATTTATAACCATTGCTTTAGATTCAAGTGTATCTTTATAATCATAGTATATCTTTATGTTGCTATTTTTTTTATAGTTGTTTATTTCAATAATTAAATCCTTGTAGCAAATTGTTTCTTAATTTACTGGTCAATTTCAAATTCTTTTAACTGTTTGTGTTGGAAATGTAAACTAACTTAACTCGGTAAAAGACATATATGCTCAGTTAATTTTAGCATTCCGGAAACAATATGATCATGTGATTTTGGCACATATTTCATCCAGATGTAAGAATACCATAGTATTTACCAGAGATGGCATAATATTATTAAATTAAATTGGTATTTGAGACTGTAATCCTGAAAAGTACTGTGGCAGTCAACGTGTTAATGATTTTTTGAATTAAACTGACGATATATTCTATTGGTTTAGTTGTAAACTTTTTTATTTGTTCTATGTTTCGTGCATTAATAACTTCTATGATATTTTTCTCCTGTTTTTTTGAGCAATAAAAGTATTACTCAATAATTCAATTAATTGAGTGAATTATTGAAGGGAGTTAGTCGACTGTTCCATATACGTCGTTGGTGATAAATAATCAGAACGCAGTCATTTCAAGATTTTTACTTTCACTTACCTTTATTTATTTATTTACATTCCACCCTACCTTGCCTGAAGGGCCATACGAGCGTTTGCAATAGTGGGCTGTTATGCATGACTGCATAACAGCACACTACTGCAAGTGAACAGTTTAAAAGATTTTATCTTTGGTGACGTCTGATCAAGGGTGTCCGTCTTCCAGCGGTCTTATTGGTGGTGGTCCTCTTCTCCGTGCTCCGATGTTGAATTGGGCTGGACCTACTGCCTCCTTCCAGTCATAAATGAATTTCTTGAACCGAGGGAAGTTCTCCTTACTTACCTATATATGAAACATAAAGTAAGTATTGTGATCGTGAAAATTTTTGAATCTCAGTTTTCAACGGAAATATATATTTTTAGGTCCCCTAAGTCGAAATAACCAAGTCCCACAAAATGTGTTAAGGTCTGTGTATGTGTTAACAGTCTAGCTCAAAAACGAAAAGTCGTACGAAAGTGAAATTGCATATATAAGGTTTTTATATGCTTGGGATGTTACAGCAACTTTTTAATCAAAATCGGATAACCGAAAGTGGCACTTTACAGTATGAACTAAGCACATTTTTGCGATTTTCTCGAAAACAGCTCTAACGATTTTGATTAAATTCATTATATCAGTGTAAAATTAAGCAGTTTAAAATAAAATGTAGGTTTAATTCTGGTTTAGTTCTCTAGCAGAGCTGAAATGGCTTATTTCCAATATTAGCTTCCCATAAGGTACCCTTAATTTTTTTTTATTTGAAACAATTGGCTATTTCACATTAATCAATAATATAAAAGATAGTTAAATATGAAAGAATTTGATAATTAACTAAAGGAGATATCAGAGATCATAAAGGAGAATTGTTGTAATTCAAGAACCAACGGAATGCGAGCCCATACAAGCTCGCCTGAAAGATTAGAACACGCTTCCATACGTAACATGAGCATATATAACATGAGAATATATATATATATATATATATATATATATATATATATAGATATGTGTATCTGATTTTTTTTTTTTTTCACTGAATTGTTTTTTCCAAATTAATAAATATAGATTCGGAAAGTAGTTGTTTTTGATTGTTGGAAACTGTGGCAAGGATGTTTGGGTTCTCAAAATCAAACGTGTGGTCAAGGGTTATGCCATGTTCGGCTAGTTTCAAAGCAAACGGGCTGCGTTTGGAGATGCTATATTTGTGTTGGTAAATTAGTTTGTTGAGATAATTTTTGGTTTTTCCTATATAGGAAGAATTGCAGTCTGTGCTAGAACATGCGATACGGTGTTCGATATTTGATTGTTGTAGAAGTGGGACAGGATCTTTAAGTCTGGTATACAATTTTCTTAATTTACTGTTATTTTTAACCCTATTTGTAGGTATGAAAATTTGGAAGTTAGGGATTTTTTAAGATAGGGCTGGGATATATTTACGGAATGGATTTGTAGTGGCGAATCAAGGTGGGAGATTGAGAGGAGTTAATGGGAGACTGATGATCTGAGTTTTTAATCAGATTGTTTATTATGTGGTCGGAAAGTCATTTGATTTCAGGATCTTGTATAGTCTGGTTAGTTCTCGTGAAATTTTGAGTCAGATAATGTTAAACAGCGATGAATCAGATTTTTAGCTACACTGATTTTTTTTTGTAAGGGGGCTGGGAAAAATAATTTAGGAGATGGTCGTAGCATACAGATATGGTGTACCAATAGGTAGATAAGGTGTTATCATTTTTTCTGGTAATCAAGAGATCAAAAAAACGGAATTGTTGGATTCCAATTTAATTGTGAAACGGAGGCTAGGGTGGTATGAGTTGAATGCAGAAAGGATATTTGGAATAGCGTGGGGGTTGAAGATTAATAAGAGACCATCTACATATTTTTTAATGAAAAAAATATTGTCCTGAAATTGAGGTTATATTGAGGACAATGCTGGGGAGGTCTGGTGCAAGGCAATTACACTTCGTTAGGCTGGAAGTTTGATGAAAGTATTTGTTTTGAAAACATAGGTAGCCAGAGTAACAACATAGAGAGAGGGACTGAAGGAATGAGAATTGTTTGAGGGAAGTATGTGGTTCAGTAGTAAACCAAATTATCTTCAATTATTTGGAGAGCGCAGTCTGTGGGAATATTGGTGAAGAGACTTTCTACATTAAGAGAGGCTAGGATGAAATTTGGTGGTATGTTTAAGGATTTCAATTGTTCTAATAGGTGGAAGGATATTTTTATATTGTGTAGATTATTCTGACTAAGTGACTGGATGAAAGGGAGAAAATTTTTACTAAGTTTAGAGGATTGAGCTTATGTTAGAAATGATAGGTCGGAGAGGATTGCCTGGTTTGTGGATTTTCGGTTTGCCATAACACCGAAGAGCAGTGAACCCACATGCTTGGGTTGAAACCTCGACAACATCAATAAAAATCTTAAAATGACTGCCTCCTGACGTATCACCTACAATTCATTGAGACTTATTAGTGGACATTATAATTATTATTGCTTTGGTTATATTACAATTGTTGATTGCCATTTGCTTTAGATATGCATGAATCCCTAATAAATCCTTTTTAGTTGAGGTTAGGTCCTTTACTGGGAAGGAAGTCTCATTTGTTGAAATGGATTCTTTTCATTTCATATTCTCTAATTATCAAATTCTGTACACTTCTGATCTACATTGAAAAGGACCCCTACTAGATAAGTACCTGATCTCAACTGAAAACAATTTGGAGAGGGAATTTGTCCATCAATTGAGTTGATAGTTTTATCTAACCTAATTAAAGTAGTAATGATTCTAATAACCACTTATAATCCCAATGTACTTTAAAAAATAAAATAAAAATAATGAATGAAGAAGATATATCTTACTATGTTAGGTTATAATTGGCAACAATAGAACAATGGTGAACAACTTAATATTAATACTTAACTACTAATTTTAAGATTATTAATTTCCATTTCTAATTCATTTTCATTTTTCTTTTCCAAGTGCATAGACCTTTTCCAGTCTCCTCTCCCTTTTCCATAATCGTGAATGTACCACATTCATTGAATCCTTTGAAAAAAAAGTGCACTTCTCGCTCTTTATGTAAGAAAAATTTGGTCTGCTCTTATGTTTCTAATTACTTGCAGTGTTTTTTATTTAAAATTTTTATTTTTAGATGAAGAAAGTGAAAAACCAATTGAAGAAGACAAAAATACAGGTGAGGATTACATTAAATTCAGTTAACAGATACTATATATAGTTCATTATTAAGTAATTACAACCCACAGTTTCAATTTTCTGACTACTCTTATGAATATTTAAATATGAATGTTTCATAATTCCACTGAATATTCAGTGACAGAACTGTACTTATTATAGAACTTTCATTCTAAGGTTCGTCAATTTTTTTTTTTTTTTTTTGATTCTCCTAATCGAAAAATATTGAACACATATGCTATTGTTTGTTCTAATAGGCCTTAAGACCCTGAAAAAAAAAATTATTTATAATTTCATGCAAAATTTATTATTTATATTTTTTTTCTGTAAAAAAAAAAAAATATTGCCGGCTGTATTAGGTTAATTATAGTGTATAAAAAATTACAAAAACCAGAAGACGCTCCCAGTTAAGTTGGCTGAGTAAATTTTTATTATAATGAAGTTGGATTCGTTTTTAATATCCTTCAGAACTCTTCTTAAATATGAATTTTTATAAAAAATATAAATTTAAGTATTTGATTTCTTTGGAGGATTTTTTTTTTTCTGACCGTTAACTTTAATTCCTTAAGATTTTATCCAAATTCAACATTATTATTCCCACTGAAAAGCTGAACTATTGCTCATACAAACCATATTCTTAACTTTATTATTTAATGCCTTTTCAAAAAATAAAAGGAGTAAAGAAAAACTCATCCAATGTTTTTATTCTATATCCTAAAATCCTAATTTGTTTATAGTAATGTAGTTTATAGGGTCCTATATCCCTAATAATGCTTGTGTGGATCGATGGAGTCCTCTTAAAGTTATCAAAACAAAAACTGAAAATTGGCAATGAGTTTGGAGGATAGAGTATTGTAGCCCCCCAATGCCAGTAAGCGTGGTGTGTTACAATGAAACTTTTCCTAATTTTTGGCTGTGAGACATAAGATTTATCTGTCAACTTATAGTCATCTATTTATATATATTTTTTTTTTTAATTTAAAAACTTATCTTTTTATGCATTACTCATGTTTTTTATTTATTTATTAAGTCTCTCAGTTAGAATTTTTCTTAAATAGATAGCAAAAACTTGGATGAGGTGGTTTTTAGAAAAAACTGTTTTATCATGGAAATACAACTGAATATTAGGAAGTGGTTATCTGGTATTACCATTGAATTTGGCAAGTGATTGTCACCCCTTAGACGCCTTTCCTCGTTTTTTTTTTTATGAATAATTATAGCCATTTATCAGTTGGCCATATCTTCATCTTAATCTAGGTCACAATTTCTCAATTTTTGCTCCCTTGTATTTGTTGCTTGATTTTCTTGGTATCCTTTAAATTTTCAAGAATTTTGTATGAAATAACTGAAACCTTGCTACATCCATACAGTGAAATAATATCTTAATTTTTTTCTAATGTATCAAGTCAAGGTATGGTCAAGATTGTCTGGTATTGTTCATGGAGGCCATGAACACACCATTACTAATTTTAAACTCCTACCTCAGATTTATAATTCCTTATTACATACAATATGTATTGTAGTAGTATTAATCTCCTTTTTTTTTTTTTCCTTTTTCTAAAATAGCTTAATTTTAACCAAAAAAAAAATATAAATTTAATAACAGATCCATCAATTGTACTTAGCATATAACTGAAGTTATATTTTCTCAATTTTAAGCTCAAAAGCAGACTATTGAAATGATTACATATTCATCAAAATGTTTGGGAATATATCTCTGGTCATAACTAGTCAAGTCGACTTAACGCAATGTGAGGATGAGTCGACTTAACTAGTTATGGCTAGAGACCATATATCTACAATTAAATCTCATATATATTATATTTGACATTGTTATGATAAGCATTAGTAATAATGATAATTTCTTAATATTTTCAGTTTCCGACACAGAACAGCATGCTGCATTCCATGGTGCTATATCACCTGCCTTCACTTCTATGAACGATAATTTTTCCGAATCAGAAGATTCTTACTCCTTCACCTACATAGTTACTACCATGGCTGCTCTCTGTTGCGTCTATCTTTTGTTTCATTATAGGAATAAGGTAAACATTTGTACAATGCATACCTTTTATGTAATTTTCATCTGTGATAGATTTTTTTTTTAACCAAATTGGTTAAAAAAAAAAAAAAAAAAATCCTGACCCCTACAACTCATGAAGGGTCTTGGGTTTAGTACTAATTTAGGGAAAGCACTGTTTCTTGGTCGACGGTTGTGCAAGGAGATGATGTGACCGAGATCACACTCAACCACCAGGGTTTTTTTCCCCTTAATTAATAATTTTTAATTAAGGGTACCCACTTTAAAGAGGCTGGGTGTGCCCCGGGAGGGTCTACCTTCCCAAGGTCGCCTCACGGCTAATGAAACAGATTGGTTAATTTAATATATTTCCAAAAATTTTAATCTACTAACCTTGTTGAAGAAGTAAAAGAATATTTCTAAGAAAAAAAAATGTGTTGATGTAGAAGCTAGAAACAGAGACAAACTGTTCAAATTTATTTACTAAAGTTCTATTAATAGACTTTAAAAAGCAGTTATTTTGGTGGGTTTTTTAAAAATTCGTATCATAAAGTTCCTAGAAATCCCTGACTCACTATGGGTTGTAGTTCTGAAAGTGAAATTCCTTCTACTATGTGGTTTATTTAACGAACTGATTATAATATTTCAGTGAATAAAACTACAATTGTCTCATTGTCTATCAATAAAATGGTCACATTATCTATTTAACTTATCTCCACCCCCCTAATACTTATACAAACAGTTGCTTGGTTATCAGTATTACTATTAGATTTTTTTTTTTTTTTTTAGTATCTTATAGTTTATTTACTAACTTGTGTATTAACTTTATGTTAAAGATAATGTTATAAATTAAAAATCATTAACTAATTTAAAAAATCTGGTGTGCGCAACACACAACTTTTACTTACCTCTCTACTTTGAATGTAAATTATTTTCTGGCAATGTTGAGCAATTATAAAATTGTTGAAGTGCACTTTTAACGGAGCTATAGCTTAAAGCTTACAGCTAACAAATCATTAAGACCACTAAAATAACAAAAACCCCATTAATTATATCAACGGTAGACAATAAAAACTTCGCTACTTCGTCTGTTTTTGTAAACCTCATAACTCCAGATTCCGAGCTAAATATATATATATGTATGCCTAGAGAGATTTGAAAGTATATTTTTATTTTCAACCTATAAATGATTATGGATTGTATGCCTATTAGTTATTAAACTGTTATTTTCCATTGTAAAGTTTACTAAAATGAAATTACTACATTTTCATTGCCTGCCGTAGATAGGTCAAAAATTGTCACACTAATTTTAAATGGATAATGTTTGTATTTCACAAAGGGAAAATTCATCAAATTATTCACTTATTTAATTTTCTAAAAGGTTACATGACGATTTTTCGGAATAAACGGTCATTGATACCTAATTATTTAAGTATAATATCAGATCTAGAATTATTAAACTACAGTAAATGTATTTAGGGTTTCCAATGTGATATCCGTTAAATAATATTAGTTTTTACAAATTATTATTTATAATTTTTCATCATTCTCCATTACTTTCTATATTAGATGTTTTTTTCTAAAATTATCTGCTTTCCAACGATATATTCTAGGTATTATTTCTGACTAATATTTCCAGAAATTCATTTTCGATATAAATGTACATTTTATCTTTCTCCATTTTTCAATTATAAAATTCTTTGAAAAGTTTTATTTAGCTTTTTTTTTTTTGTAACTCTAAATAATGAAAAGTAGTTAATCATTTAAAATAAACCAAATTAAAGGTATTTTTGAGGAAGACATATTGAACATTTAAGCCCTGTAAAGTGACACCAATGGGAACAAGACCTCAATGATATTGAAGACCACTTAATCATACAATGATACACCAAGTTTAATGAAAATTGTTAGTGCCGTTTTTGAGAAAATTGTAAAAATGTATATAACCATTGGTATAAAGTGTCACTTTGGGTTAGTCGATTTTAACTAAAAAGTTGCTATCACACCTAAGTCATATACTTATCTTTAATATGTAATATCAGTTTCGTACGACTTTTCATTTTTGAGCTAGACTGATCATATACTTAAACACACAGAGACTATTTTGCGGGACTTGGTTATTTAGACTCAGGGGATCTCAAAACGTGTATTTCCGTTAAAAACTCATGTTCAAAAATTTTCACAATCGTAATACTTTCCCTTATTATATATTGTATATATAGGTAAGAGAAAGTAAAAATATATTGTAAAAGCGAATGAAATATTTTTAAATATAAAAAAAATATCTGTAAATACTTTTAAAGAATTGACTATAAAAAATCAAACAGATTTTAACTGATAAAAAAATCATAAATACAAATACTTTAAAAACAAATACAAATACTTTAAAAACTGCTTTAGGAAATATTTTTCTCTGGTTCAGAAAACTTTTTGAGCCACTGCTGAAAAATTGTTGGAGATGATGATTCAATTTTTCATATTGTAGGTTGTGGCATGATTTTGTGAATATAAAAAGAACAAAAAATCACTTATCGTGTTAAATAACAATAGTTAAATAACTTAAAAGGTTATATGGACAACAGTTTTAAAATAAATTAATTTAAGGTGAATATTTTCCTTATTTGAAATCTAAAATATCCTAGTTTTAACAATAATCTCCTTGAAAGATACCAGAAGGTAGAGAATGGAAAGAATAATAGGAAAGAAATATTCCTAAAAAAAATGATGTGTGGGTATCACCTTTAATAATTCAATTTCTCTATGGTTTAACAGTTTGCAGTTAAATAAAAAAAATGTTCAATTTTTAACTTTTTAATATTCAATCTTTAATCCTAAACATTCAATTGTTATTATGTCTGTATGTTTTTGTTAGTTGTAACTTAGCAATGTAAGAATTGATTTTTTGAAATGAAAACTTCTTTAGGTGCACTTTTTTTATGGGTTGTGAATGGGGCCGGGTCGCCATGCTCGGATATGTAACGCTCAGAAACTAAAAATCGGACCTGCATACTATAAATCAGAAAAATGTTGAGCATTTCATCCTCTTTGTAATGAGCTATTAATCAAAATTGTATTTTACCACGACGCCGTGTTCGAAAGGGAAAAAGATATTGTTCGAAAACCAAATGATAACTGGGTTTTGTTGAACATTTTGATTAAAATATCATATTCTGTAATACTGTATAATAATATAATAATACTTCTGGACCTGCATGCTGTAAGTGAAGACAATGTTCAGCATTTCAACCTCTTTTTTAATGAGCTATAATTCAAAATTGTATTTTGATGTGACGCCGAGTTAGAGTCTTAAAAGGAAAGTGCCAAAAAAAACCCAATAATAATGACTGTTTTGAACATTTGGACTAAAATATCTCAAAATTTAAATATCACGGAGAATTCAGAAACAAACTTGCAGAAGTAACTATAGATATGTTTTTAATTAGCCGTAATAATAAGATTTTCTCTTACATTTAATAGTGTTTCGACAATTGTCATTAAAGTCATAATCAAAAAATAGTTTGTTCGTTGGGGTTTTAAGGCATAAAACATCAGGGTCATCAACGACAAAAAATAGTTTATACACAATTCTAATTGTATTTATTATAAATGTTATTACTCTGTATACATAGAAAAAATTTTTTTTTTATATTTCACATTATTAATCCTGCCTTGATGTTTTCACTTCTATCATTTGGTCTTAACCACATACTGTAGTATATTTTATTTTCATTTGTATAATAATTGAAAGTATTGCAATCATGAAAATTTTCGAATCTGAGTTTTCAATGGAAATACACATTTTGAGGTCACATTGACCCCTGTGTCCAAATAACCAAGCCCCACAAAATAGTATGTGTGTCTGTTATCAGTCTATCTTGAAAATGAAAAGTCGTGAGAAATTGATATTCTGTATTTAAAATAGATTGAGATGTTAGAGCAACTTTTTCATCAAAATCGGCTAACCGGACTTGCTACTTTATACCAACAGTTATAACATTTTTACAATTTTCTCAAAAACGGCTCTTAACAATTTTGATTTAACTTGGTGTATCATTGTTTAGTTAAATGGTCTTTTACTCATTGAGGTTGTATCCGCATTGATGTCACTTTACAGGGCTTGAATGTTCAATATGTCATCCTAAAAAATATTCTAATTTGGATTATTTTAAATAATTATCTATTCTTCAATATTTAGAGTTACGAAAAAATGTTAAATATAACTTTTGAGAGAATTTGATAATTGAAAAATGGAGAAAAAAAGGAAAATGTTAATTTAGGTCGAAAATGAATCGCCAGTAATACTAGTTAAAAGATATGCGTATAATATATCGTTAGAAAGTAGAGAATTTTGGGAAAAAAACAATATCTAATACAGAAAGTATTGGAGAGTGATGAAAAATTATAAATAATAATTTGTGAAAACTAATATTATCTAACAAAAATCATTTGTTTTCAAAGAAATTAAATGGAATTTACTAAATATATTATATATTATAAATATAATAATAATAATAAAAGGCTTAGCGAATCCGGAGGTTCGATGCCGACACCACCAATCGCTCATTACACATCTCTCTCCACCGTTCGCCGTCTAAACCCAGTCCCTTCAGATCTGCTTTAATGCAATCTTCCCACCTTTGCTTTGGTCTACCTCTCGGACATTTACCATTCGGTACAGCAAATATCATCCTTTTCAAAATTCTTTCGTTACTAATCTCAACTATTTTACTAGCCAATTTGATTCTCCGCGATGTAATTACCTCAATTATATTAACTGGATACAGTTCACGCAACTCGGTGTTGTGCAACCTTCTGAACTCTCTGGTTAACTCATCTTTCTTCAGTCCGAATATTCTACTCAATACTTTAACTAACTAAATATAAAATTTTAAAATTTTTTTGTTTCAAGAAAAAGTATTTAAAATCCATATAATCAAGGCAACATTGTTAAAAAAATTATTTCATTGTACTTGTGAGACAGAAGCGAAATATAAAAATATTTCACGGATGCATAATTATGACCTTATATACATTTACTGTAGTTTAATAACTGTATATCTGATATTATATTTAAATTATTAGTTGTCTATCGTCCGTTTATTCCTAAAAATCATCATGTAACCTTTTAGAAAATTACATTAGTGAATAATTTGATGAATTTTCTCTTTGGTACTCCAAAAGTTTTTTTTTTTCTGTTGGTATTACAGACCATGTAGATCTTTTGCCGCCTGCTCTCAGCTCTATTACTTATTTGTTGATTTTATCTATCCATCTGCTTTTTAGCATTCAACATGATCTTTTGCCTTCTATTGAGGCATTCATTGTTACCTAGAGGCTACTAGATGGATTGCTACGAGCTACATGCCCCGCCCATCTTAACTTCTGTGCCTTCATATCATGGGATATTGATTGACAAGTTTCTGTAAGTTATATATCCCAACATAATGTTACAACTTTTGACCTATCTATGACAGGTAATTCAAATCTTGTAATTCCATTTAAGTAAACTTTCCAATGGAAAATAACAGTTTAATAACTAATAGTCGTACAATCCATACTCATTCGTTGATATATAATAGAATAGAATAGAATAGAAAAATCATCTTTATTCTGGGACTAGGTCCTTTAAGAATTACAATATTGTTTAAACCAATTGACAATAAATCTGGCCAGATGACCAATTACAATAAAGAGTAACTACAATCTAAGTAATAAAATGTGTACATACATAGTTTTGGAGGGTATATTAAGGAAAGCGGATGGGTACAACGGTTACAATATTATAATATTGGTGCAAAAAACAACAACATGCTTATAACTAAATACAATTAGAAAGAAATGCTGAATAAATTTTATAGGTAACCAATTTTAGTGCTACAAAATAATAAAAATAAGAATAAAGGAAAATAACTAGAGTAAATAAATGATTTATATGTTCCTTAAGACGTTTACATGAAAACTTGTAAAGGTATTGTGAAAAAGTAGACAAGTGTTGTGATCTACCTATGACGCAATAGATTACGAGCAAAAAAAGAAAAAACAAACACATACATATATATATATACATATGCACATAGAGAGGAGAGTGCAGAAGATAAGTAAAAAAAATAAAATACTTTTAAATAAAATAAAACACACTTCAAAAAAATACACTCTTATGAATTGAAAAGATAAAAGGTAACTAAAACAATAAAAAACTATACCTACTCACACTGCTGTGTGAGAGGTGATCGAAATTCTGTTTCATACTCAAAACAGAAAGGAAAAAAAATAATGTATAAAGAAAATTAAAAGCTTGTTGCATAATATATATTTAGCCAGCATCCGATTGAATTGTGAAGAGGAATTGGAATAAGAGGGTTTAAAATGTGGATAAGGATGGTTTTAAAGGTGCATGGCGGATTTTTAATGGTATGGAATTCCAGAATGCAGTGGAACGGATAACAAAGGAATGTTTAAACGAGGCAGATTTGTGTAAAGGTTAGAAGAAATAGGATATTTATTATATTAATGATTTTTAAGCTTTAGCTCGGTTAAAAATCCACTTCAAAAATTTTATAGTAGCAAAACATTGCCAGAAAATAATTTCTATCCAAAGTAGAGTAGTAAGTAAAAGTTATGTGTTGCACGCACCAGGTTTTTGTTTTTGTTTTTAAGGAATCTTCAAGTTAGATGTTATTTTGTTATAAAAAATGTAAACAGCTCTGTATATTTTTGCTATGGTTCCTATGTTTTTAATTTGAATTCTTTGTAAATTCCTGATAAAATGATTAAAATAAATAATCTTGTTACAGCTAATGGCTTTAGCACTCGAGGGGCGCAAGGGAAGGAGCTCCAGAGGTAGAGGAAGGCCCAGCTCGGCTAACTACAGTAAATTGCATTCAAACCTTGAAGAGGCGATAGCTTCCAACGTCACCACACCCTCGGCCACTCATGTCCTTTACTGAAACCTAATGCCATCCATTCTTGCAGATATTTATCTTTTATAATAACTTGTAATAAAATTTTTGTATCGAATGTTCGTATTTGTAAGATTATATATTTTTTAATTCATGTATAGTTTCAAAAAGAATCCTATAAAAATAAAATAAGCTTCTGTAAATATGTAGATAATGTAAAGAGCGGGTTTTATATTAATTTTATTCCTCGCTACAAGGTCAGAGTTTAATTGATGATCCATTCGTTTTTTGGTTTTTATGGATGTTATGTTTTTATTTAGATGCGAAAAGGTGCTTATTAGACTATTATTGTGGATTTGTATTATTAGATATCTACCTGCACTTTTGAATTAAGGAAACTTTATTGGTGGATAAGTATGAAAAATCTTAACACTCATTGGATATTTGAGGAGCTACAGATCAAAATTTATTTTATCCATTTCCATTTTCACTGAAAAAATTCATTTTGATCCTGAAGTCATTCATGAAATATGCATACATGATAATCATTTTGAAGTGAATGACTTCAAAGCTCTGATCGGACTTCGATTTCTTGTCAAAAATAGTTATGATTCCTGCTAATAAAGAATTTTGTTTAAAAATTTGCAAAATGCATTTTGATCCAAAGCGCCTCATTTCATTTAATAAATGGCAAGGAGAGAAAAACATGTAAGTACGTTTATTTTTAAATTGAGTTATTGGTATAAATTGATTTAAAATGAAAAACTACATCTTTCAGGGATGTGAAATGCGAAAAAAATATCTTATGTTAGCTATTGTTTATTGAATTTATATTTTATCCATTGTTGTGGATAATGGAGTTTTTCATTCTGAACCTATTTTTACCAGGACCTCAATCTAAAAAAAGTTTCACTTGGTTTTCTCCTTACCCTCCATTTATTTTTGTTTATTAGCTGAACTTACTAATTATATGTTCTCCTGAGACGGAATAATTAGAATTTCACCATTTCGCTGCTTGTGAAGTGAATGAAGTTCGTATAAGTTTATTCATTTTATGGAGTAAATTAATAAATTTTTCATCGAATTTCTTTATTTTCTTATTTATTCTTATAGATTATTTGAATAGTTACGGACCTATTTCTTTATTAAGACAAAAAAAAAAAATTAATTTGTGTATTTAAAATTTAACACATAGTGCACATGAACATTATTGGTGAATGTGGAATATTCTAAGAATTTTACAGCATTAAATTAGGTATGGATTCTTCTTTTGCTCTATTTCTTTTTTTAAGAAATTGGCCTGGGAGATTAAAATGGGAAATTATTTTAGCCTCACTTGCTGTTCATTATTGGTTTAAAAATTTATAAGATCCATTTATTTATAAATAAACATAAAAAATTATTTATTTTAATTGTTTTATTCAAATTATTTGAAAAAATTTATGCACTCAAATGTCATAGTGTAGTCATTTATTTTTTCGCACATTGGTCATAGAATCCTCCTGTAAGTAGTATTTAATTTAAAAATATTGTACTCATTGACAATTTACTATTTTATCTGATTTTCACAGCATAACTATATCTTTTAGATGTCCAGCACAAAAGAAATATTATGTAATTGTATATACTTACCAAAGTAGACATGACAATTACAGCAAATTTTAATTATAAGATATTTAATCTCACTGTTATCACTTAATAGAGGCATTTATGAATATTACTTCCTCTCAATGTTTATTTTGGGTGGTGCTATCGGTAGGCCCTTGTTGTTCACAATTTTCTTTCTACAGGAGGTATTCTGTCTATCTAACGAAATTAAGTTTGTTTACAATTAGGATTCAAATGATTATATAAAAGTAAACATGTGTTTGTAAAATACACTGAAAATATATATATATATATATATATATATATATATATATATATATATATATATATATATATATATATATATATATATATATATATATCAAAAACCAATTTATTCAAATTAAGAATTGAAGTCAATATAATATAGAACTGTAGGATGTTTAGGTAATTCAGTCCTGTAATTTAATGCACATAAACTTAAAACATCGATGGGTTCTTTCACCTTTTTATGATTACTCCCTAGTTTAATCTTATTTTCTTTTGTAATATATTTCCTATGATAACGTTACTTCTTTGAATTTACTATATATTGTAGTTTTGATGTTGTGCATCATTATAATTTTTTTCAAAGGTACTTGTTTTATTAAAAATGACTGCTTATTTACTATGAATATTTAACATATTATTCATTTCAGCTACTTAAAAATTTAATATTTATTCTACAATAAAGGTTTATATTTCTATTGTAGTTTTCATTCTGGTTTATTGTTGACATGGAGGTATTGAAATATTTTTAATATAATTATTGCAAATTTATTCTAGTGTCACCTTTTTGAATTACTGTAAAAGTATTTAGATATTGGAAAGATACCATTTTTTTCTATGTTAAATAAATTGTTTGTTTCACTATTATACAAATATACCAGTATTATTAAATGATTTTCTGAATTATCTACCATAAAACTTTTAATTATTTAAGTCTTTTGATTATTCACAAAAAAATATATTATTTAATATTCTATTCTGAGATGTATCATTTGTTAATTGAAGAAATAAATTTTTTTAAATTGTTGGATATTCATATCTATTAATTTCATCCTCTAAAAAATTAACAACAAGAAAAAAGTTAAAATGTGGGACAATGGTATATATAAAATATACATAACAAATAAATTTAACAGTCTTAATTATTGTTACTTTGAGTTACAATTTACACTATTATTTTAAAATACAATCCTTATTGGAGAACTTGTACTTAACAAATTCAAGTACTACTGAGCTTGTTGACTTAAAAATATAAACTTATTACTGATATCAGCCTTTTAAAAGAATTTACAGCACTGGAACTAAGTAACTCATTTTCCAATCATATCTTCATCTATTAGTAAATAAACTGCTGATCCCACTCTGAAGATCTTTAAATAGTCAGCTGAATGTTCGAGGCAATTGAGTGCATGCATGGAGAGAGGGGGCAGAGAAATGCATAAATTTGAGCTGAAATAGAATTGAAGTGAGAATGAACACAAATAAGATTGATATTACTTTTTAAATTAATAAAATAACCTGTACTACTACAACCCATGAAGGGTCTTGAGTTCAGTATTATATAGAGAAAGTACTGTTTTTAGATCAACAGTTGTGCAAGGTGGTTTCACCAAGATCGTGCTCAACCGCCAGGTTTTTCCCTTAATTATTTTAATTGAGGTTCCCACTACTACTGTTTCAGGGTTAAGTGGCCAAACTGCAAAAATGAACTAAGGACCTCAAAACAAGAAAAAATTTTCCTCTGAAGGTATGTCCACAAACGCTTTGTTTAGGAAATATTCCCACCTAAAGATTTTCGTTGTTATTATTTATATAATTTATTTTACACATTTTTACAATTTTTTTTTCTAAAACAGCTGCAACGATTTTGATTGAATTCATAATGTAATATCTGTTTAAAATTAAGCAGTTTTAATATAATGTAGTTCTCATTCTTATTGATGTTCTCTAACAGTGTTTAAATGCCTAATTTTTATTTGAAATAATTAACCATTTCATATTGGAAACTAATATGAAAAATGGTTATATATAATGGATAAAGAAAGTTGATTGGTAACTAAATGAGAAATAATGGTTAGAAGCTATACGGAAATAGCCAAGTGCGCCCAACCTTTGCCAATCCTCTCCGGTTACAGATTCCCGATACCGCTTTGTACAGGGCTTTCATATTGTTAATTTAACTTTTATATATCACTTATCCATAATTTTTAGAAAAAGTTTTCACATGAAATGTTGAGGATATACTAATATAAATCTAATAATATACAATATTAACTAACGTTGAGTTATTTTTACAACCCGATTTGTAAAAAGAAATGAAAAGCGATGCAAATGTATAAATTTAACAGATTCGATTCAAGGGCAGATAACACATGGTAATTAATTGTTTTAAATGAAGTTATACTGTCGTTTTTACTTTGACTTTGCTATTTATAAAAATACCTATAAATCTAAGGTTGGCAAGTGAAAGTTGTGTGATGCGCGCACCGCATCAGATTTTTATGAAACTATCTATAATTAGGAAGGTGAGGTTGTCCCCTAAAAGAAGGGGTGCATATCCCTCTCTCCGAGGTCGATGGTGCATGAACCTTATCTTCTCTCCTTTCCAATACATTTTATTAGTCTCCTATTCTTAATAACAGTACAAGCGAAAGTGTAATTTAAAAATTCATAGATCATATGCAAATATATTTGCTACAGTTTGTTACCTGTTTTACCCTTGTCTCCTGGTCAGAAACTTTTCATTATGAAAATTCATAATCCTATCAAAATGTGCCATGAAACCAAACACCCATCTGGGCACCTCTGCCCAAAAGGGTTTCACAAAAATTTTATACTTAAAAAAAGGATATTCAAAAAATATCGATTGAAAAGAAGACATGATAATTTTTTTTTCAAGTAATTTTATATTTGTACAGAAAACACATCTAACATAACGTAATAATTAACAAAATATTTACATTACATAATTATTAATATATAAAAATTAAACCATCAGAGATTTCTTCATAATGAACATTGTTTTATGTCACTGGAATTATACATAAAGGTTTTATGCTGTACATAAATATTTCACTTGTGAAAAATTTGAAATTTAAATCTGGAAGGTGGAGATTACAAGTGACACCACTATCATTATTTGCAAATCTCAAATTTATTAACTTTGTACCAGACTAGAACGAATAAATTAATTACAGTAATTCGCATCTGTCGTATGATTCATAATCCATGGTAAGAAGTACTTCACGTTAGTGTAGATGCCTGGATAATTTTGGTTCGCACAGTTTACACCCCAAGATATTATACCTTAAAAATACATAATATTATTACTTCATTGTATTTTTAATAAAAACCAAAGTCATGTTTTGCATCTTAAAGTGTTTATATTAAAATGATTTGAATGAAAATAAGCTGTCAAACATGGCTTTCCTAATTAATCCTGAAAGGGTTTTAATCTCTATTCTTAAAACCTATGGATCAAATACAGAAGAAAGTGTATCTAAATAAAAGGTTAAAATATATATATCTGTATAATATTCTTTATTTTATGATACCTCATCAATACTATATACTTGTACATTTACATCTAAGTACATACTTTGGCTTTTTTTTTTTTTTTTTTGGGTCATCCTCTTCCTCGCCGTTAAGGCTATACGGGGTTTTCCCGGGCCAGGGGGTGTGGGGGGGATTTAAAAAACGCCTTGGCACCGGGATGCGAACTCGTGACTATTTTTATAACACAGTTGTCATATATCAGGTTGCCGGGCAATGGTGGTGCTGTGCACAACGCTTTAGCCCATTCGGCCACCCCGCCCACAAAAAAGAGAATGATGAACCTGGCAATTTATTATTGTATAATAAGATGCTAACCATTACACTATTAAGTGCTCTTATACTTTTCCTCATATAACATCTATAATTATTTCTAGTACAAACCTGCTAGAATGGCCTGCTTTCTTCCGTTTATCAGAAGAGGTCCTCCACTGTCACCCTTAGAAAATGTTTGCACTATTATTAAATAATAATTTTTATTTCAAAACATTCTATGTAATATAACATTCTAGATGACCAACCTATAGGACCAAAAGTAGCTTAGAGGAAAAATGCAATTGAAATTCTACAGAATTTATATTTGTTTGCAAATATTAATGTGCTAATGAATCTTGGATTGATTTCAAAGCAACAGTCACTTACTAATAATGAATCCTTATCAAAACAAAAAATTTAATTTGAAAATATTGCTGAACAAATTTATTGTATTTTTTTAACCTAGGTACTATTAAAAGTTGAAAACATTTTTTTTTTTTTGAGCAGCTGTGTTGGACTTATTTTACATTCTACAGAAGTTTGATTTAACTCTATAGATTCTTCTTTTTTTTTTTTTTTTTTTTTTTTTTATAATAATTCATTTATTTTTTATAGTTTACTTACATCGGCTCAATCAAGCCACTAGCGAGTCTGGGTCACTTCGAGTAGCTTCCACCTGATGGCTCCATCCTGTACAACAGCAGTTCATTTGTGTTCACCAAGTTCCTTACATCCACTTTTGCACCATCCAGTCATCTTATTCTTGGTTGCCACTCTCTCCTTGCTTGGTCCAACACTTCAGTCCTTACTTTCCTTGGGATTTTGCGGTCATCCATCCAAGAAAGATGACTAGCCCAGCAAAGTCGTTCCTGTTTCAAACCCATACTATGTCATCATCTCAACTAACATTATAGAGCTCTCTGTTCTTTCTTTTCTTCCAGAGCTCTCCCTCTCTCACTGTTCCAGATATTCTCATAAGCACCTGTCTCTCAACATAAGTGAGTAGAGGCATTCACCTAAGTAACCTGTTTTTGTCTGCCTTGGTGATACCCCTATGCTTCTGACCCAATGGTGAGCATTGGTCTTGTAGAGGTTGTTCTTTTACTGGAGTAAACATTCTTGATTGTTGGGCAGGCCTCTATTGGTACCATTGAACTGCCTGCTGACATCCTATTAGGGGTTCACCTTTAATCCCAGATACAACAAAGGTTCCACTCTCTGAAACTAATACTTTCTTATAATGGATCTTCAAATCTTGCATTTTTTTTTAAATCAAGCACTTTAATTTCTGAAATATCTCCAGAAGGGGCCACAGTTTTCAGAAAACATTCTTTTATTGTGATGTTATAAGTAGTTAAAAGTTCCTCCCTGAGTCTTAATTAGTGTTTTGTTATAAAATTAAGTATATTACATTGCTTTATATATATATTTATAAAAATGATTTACACATTATTATTCTTCTACCTTTTACAATCTAAACAAAATATATAGTGTGTTATATATTATCATTGAATGTTTACTCTTAAGAAACCCTTATAAATATTTGGCTGATTGTTATATACATTTTTTTATAAATGTTGAAACAACTTGTAGAAATTGTGAATTCTAATGACATTAGTTTTCATATTGATAACCTTACATATTTAAACCACACTTAATTGTTTTTAGAGGCTGGTGGAAGAAATATATAAAGAAGTCCTCTCCGATTCCCTTCATTCTTCCGTCCAACTTATTGTTATGTTTTTAAATGGAAATAAACTTTTGATGTAGTAGTGCTAAAGTGCTATAATCAATAATTCTTTCTGATTTTGAATACACATAATACCTGATCTATTACATTAAAAATCACAGTTGTTTTACCTAGAATCCAATTTCAGACCTGCTGAAGCATTCCTTGCCAGATTCTGATAAGCCATTTATTCATGACTATCGATATCCAACGATTAGATCTAAAGTTTATGATGTTAAAATATTTTTAAAGAGTACAGAATCTACAGAACATCACCACTTTTTTTCCCTTGTATTTGAGCTGAGATCTAGTCCATTTGAGATGTTTCCGTTATTTTCTTGGTATACACATTATTCCCTCTGGTTCCTTCTTATAGTTGCTTCACTGTTTTTTTGTTTTCTAGAGGTGTTTTTCCACTCTGTTAATTATATTTTATTATATAGTTAAGTACATATTGTATTTATAACTGTCAAGTATATATATCCTTATTGAAACCTTTTTAACGTGAATGAATTACAGTAATTTGTATTACTACTATATAAAAGGCTGGCCATCCAGATAAAATTATATTGAATACCTATTTTCTCACCTGACAAGCATCATCCTTATATCCCCTTGCACATATTATTTGGCTGTAACTTGTTGTGATAAATCTTGCAGTACCAGACTTTTGACAGGTCATCGCATGTATTATTGTGACAGTGCCTTTTTTGACTAATCCAACTTTATAGTTTCTAATAAATCTCCATTCGCTGGCTACGATTGTTCCATACATATTTGACAAAATAGTTCCTGTATCAAAATATTAAATTATTATTTCTTATTTATAAATTCCATTATTACCACTAATATTTTTTTCTTTGTATAGTCCTTTTAAGTTGTATCTGTCTTATATAAATAAATAAAAAAAAAGAAAATGCTATGTATTGTCTGAAATAATTTTCATAATAAGATCATGTTGAAACGAACAGATATATTTATTGCTAGCTTTCATAACTTTGTTTTGAATTAAAGTTCATTATTTTTTATAAATATAATTTACAATAGTGAGTATATAATAATTAATATATCTAGCAATAATCGTCAGATGTTTCATGTCTGTTCCCTTATAGCAGGAGTAACATTGATCATATTTTGTTTGTGTGAGAGTTTTTTTAAATTTAAATTAATTGAAAATTATTATATTATAAAGGAAGCATTGTGCCATATGTAATCTAAATATTGCAACGACTATGTATTATTTTGATTAAATACAGAAATATATCATAAATGTGGTCTGGCAAATACAATCAGAGTTTTATTATACTGATTCAGTTTTGGTCTGCAAATTATCCATTCATCCATCGATAAAATGTTTCTTTGTTTAGCACAACAAAAATATAAGCTTCTTCTATTCAGTCTATATATTTGTATACTAAATAAGCTATTAGATATATGCATTATTTTAGTTAGTTATTTTAAAAAAAGATGTAAAAAATAAATAAAAGAAATTGACTTTATTACTTAAAGTCAATTATTATTATTAAAAATATAAAGTTTTTTTTTTTAACACAGTAAGCGTGGGGTGGTCCTCGGATGAGTTCCACGCTCCTTGGTTTTACCGATTCTTTCTATCACACCATCTCTGTGATAGGGATTGTTTGTTTGTATGTCATAAATATGGTCTGGCAAGTTTGATTCTTTCTCATTGTAAGTACAGTCAGAGTTTAGTCCACATGGTGTTTGTTTCAGTAGAATTCTACTTTTAAAGCATGTGTTTCATATCTAAATCATCCAACCTGTACATCAAATGTTTGATCTATAGTTTTTATTTAAATTTCAGACAAAATCAACATACAGAGATGATATAAAAACAAATTCAATAAATAATCTTGAAGACTCAATTTTTTTTTTCTCCTTGAAAAGTAGAACAAGTATTTTAGATTTGTTACAGATCTGTCCACGTTTGTCGGATTTAACAGCCCTGATGAAGGCCTGAACTTCGGGCCAAAACATCGGCAAATGTAAAAATAAATATTATTTATTTTTGCTATTTTTTATTTTGACTGATCACCCCAACCATCCTTCTCTTCAACTATTTTATATTTTTATAGACTTGATTTAATTAATAATTTGTTGTCGGTTTATAAATATTTTGTAATCCCGAACAAATTATAGCAAGAAATTAAATAAATTGTTGGTTTAATACAGCTTATATAGAAATTGAATAATAATAATATTCCCTCATGGACAGGAGAGTCTCGTTTGAGGATCTGCTGATGATTGCCTTTAATTTTTTTTTTTCAAGAAATTATCAAAATAAGTAAAATTTAGTAATTAAACATATCTATACGAAATATTAATTAGCTCGATGTTCTATTATAATATTATCTTACAATTTTAAGGAAGCATTAGTCTCACAATGATTAAATTTATTATTAATTTTGTATGAACAATTATGAATTTAAATTGGTGTATAGATTATTTGAGAAGATTAATCATTCTCTGAATAAGTCATAATTGCAGTTTTAAATAATTACCATGGCTTGGCAGACAAACAGGCCACACCTTTCCAGGAATGAAGTTCAATCTCTTGGTAAGACGCAACAAACCTATATCATAGATATCATGGTGGCTGTCACCTTGATAGTGTGGATGCAGGATTGTATCACGTACACTCAGCTGGTTGGTGCAATTTCCTGGTATGATTTCCAAGTTACCAACAATGACAAACATAGATTTTGTGTCATTTCTAAGGTATAAAGAAATATTTTCAGTTGTTTTTCTTAAACATGATCAAATGATTTTTTTTTTAATATACTCACAGGATGCAATGGCCTGCTGTAATGATGTATAGATCATTAATAATTGTGCCTCCACATCTGTATTCATAATAATAAAAGATATTGGCAAACCATGGAAAACTACTTTTATCTGCTCTTTCTCCACCAATTAATCTTTTCTTTCTTGTACTGTTCGGCCCAACACCACATCCTGCATTTATTTATATAAATTATATATATGCAAATTAAATATTAAGAAACTTCTACTTATATGTTCTCATTTTGTACACTATATTTATAAATTTTTCCATATTTTAGGCAATAAAACTTCCAATTTTCTTCATATTTTTTTATTTATGCTTTTTTTCTCTCACGTTTCAGGACAATTTTCCCATCATCAGAGTAATATTTGTACTTTTACTGAAATTATGAACATTTTCTATGTTAATTTCTATTTAACAATACCATTCCAATTTATCTCTTTAACAATTATTTACCATTCTTTATTTGTTGATTTGGCACCATATGCCGAGAATTAAATATTTGTCACATTTTTTAAAAATTATTTGGTGTTACACATATTCACTCATACACTAATCAACATCTGGCTATTTTTGGTTTTATTTCTACACTTTGTACCCATCCTCTTATTTCTTATTATAGTTGTTTGTTGTGTTTCTTTTGGCTATTGTTGTTTTTTTGAATTTTAATATTGGATATTATGTCTGAATAGTGTGTACCTAAATGTTTTGTATCTGTTTTATAGTTTACTGTTCTATTATTGTTTCCTGTTATATGTATAGCTTCCAGCAGTTTCCTATTATTTGTTTTAGGTTCTATTGCCAATATTTCTGGGTTTTTGAAGTCAAAAGTGTGTAATGATTTAATACTGTGGTTTGCTAGGGCTGTTATGTTAATATTTTTACTATTTTTGCAGTTTGATGTATGTTGTGCTCTTCTGGTTTTTAGTTTTTTTAAAGTTTCACCTATATATATTTGTTGGCAATGTTGGCAATCTAAATAGTAAAAATATTAACATAACAGCCCTAGCAAACCATAGTATTAAATCATTACACACTTTTGACTTCAAAAACCCAGAAATATTGGCAATAGAACCTAAAACAAATAATAGGAAACTGCTGGAAGCTATACATATAACAGGAAACAGTAAACTATAAAACAGATACAAAACATTTAGGTACACACTGTTCGGACATAATATATAATATTAAAATTTAAAAAAAACAACAATAGCCAAAAAAAACACAACAAACAACCATTGTAAGAAATAAGAGGATGGGTACAAAGTGCAGAAATAAAACTAAAAATAGCCAGATGTTGATTAGTGTATGAGTGAATATTTGTAACACCAAATAATTTTTAAAAAATGTGACAAATATTTAATTCTCAACAAATGGTGCCACATCAACAAAAAAGGAATGGTAAATAATTGTTAAATAGATAAATTGGAATGATATTGTTAAATAGAAATTAATATAGAAAATGTTCATAATTTCAGTAAAAATACAAATATTACTCTGATGATGGGAAAATTGTCCCGAAACGTAAGAGAAAAAAAGCATAAATAAAAAAATTGGAAGTTTTATTGCCTAAAATATGGAAAAATTATAAACGTAAGCTTCCTAATAAAAAAGAAAAATAAGAAGATATATTCATAAAATATTTATTTATATTTATAAAAAAAAAAGCACTAAAGTCTGCTTATATTAACCACATTTGGAATAAAGAGCTGAATGGGTAGAAACTAAAAATGAAAAAAAAAAAAAAAAAAAACCATGTGTCGTTCTTTTTAAGATCTCATTTTTTTCCCTAGGATGTCTTTTTATTTTAGGTATGCTCAATCAAACGTCAGTTTCAGGGCTAACAAAATTATTTTTTTTTATTCTAAGGAAAGTAAGTCTTATCTAAATCGTAACTAACACAATAATTAACAAGTATGAGTGGCACCTTCCATATACCACCTTCAACATCACTTCTATCAGCTTAAAGATCTTCCATTGTTTCCTCTGCCATTCCACCTATTGCATCCTTGGAAATTTCCACTTTAGCTTCACTGACACACCTTCATTTCCTTTGAAACTTTCATTTTTCTGAAGTTTTAAAATTAATTTATTATTTTCTTTTCATTTTTCAAGTTCCTCCTCTGTTTTAAGTTTATTAATGTACCATTTCTTACTTTATTCTCATGGCATCTGGTCTAGCAATATTCTCTCTTCTTTGTCTTAGGTTTTCATTTGTCACTGAGTGCTCAGAGGATACAGGAATTTTGCAGAATCTACCATTAATTCTTACCTTGAATAACCTATTGCTTATGACATTGCCAAAAAATTAAGACTTTCTACATTTGCTAACCATTAAGAAGTCAGTACCAGATTGATCAGTTTTGTTTTTTTACAGTTGTTTATGTATGGAGAATTCTTTCTAATTGATCCTTCTTCCACCTTGTTTCCAGTAATGCAGCAATGTTGGTCTATTTCTTTCATTTTATCCAGTCTCTGGATTGTATAAATATTGCTGGTTAAGCTTGATGTGTCCCTTTCTTAACCTGTTTATTATAGATAACTGTTTTGGAGAAGCACTTCAATGAGGCACTATGGCATAATTGCAATCTGCAACTAGAGGTGGTTGGTTTAGTAATAGATTTTCTTTCCCATTCTTTATTTCAGTTTTTGCTGACTTTAATTGTAATCTGCTTTATTCAAAAAAGTGTATTTTAAAATTTTTTTTTCTGCTGCTTAAGCTCCTTCAGCAGCCAGTTCATTACTTTTTATACCTCTGTGGTCAAGGATCCACAACTATGTAATTCTCGTGTTCTATTTCCATGTTCATGACTTGAATATTTTGTATTAAATTGTTTGTGATTCATAAGTTCACATCAGATAAAGACTTCTGTTTCACTAGTGGAAATAGAATTCAGTTTCTTTCATTTCAGTTTCAGTTTCAGTTTCATTTCAGTTCCTGTTTTTATCGAATGTACAGCATCTTTGAATTTAGATCTATCAATAAAACTATTTAATTTTATTTATTAATTATAATTCATGAATTTGAAATATTTTATGAAAACGCGTTACAAAATTTTAAAAAAATGTTGCATTTTTAATCCTTTATATTAAAAAAATATTAAGAGGTGCACTTTGAAAATTCTAGTTTTAGAATAAAATATAAATAGTTATAAGTCACAAGTTTATTTTATTTATAATAAAAAAATTACTAAGATCTTTATAAGGAGAAATAAGAAGTTAGTATTACTGTAGAATCAATTATTACATAAAATAACCGATGAAAGAAATGGAACATATTTAAATAAACGAAAACAGTTTTCATTCATTATTTTTATAATGTTGCTGATTACCTTTCATGTAGGCTACCAAATAGTATTAAAGTACATTTCAATATATTAACATTTATTATATGTAAAATTTAATGTTTCTAACACAAGAGTATGCAAATAAGGTAAAGTTTTAATTGGAAGCTACAATGTAAAACAAGTTATTACTTACTGCATTGTTGCTGGTTTAAAACTTCCTAAAATATAAAAATAATGACCAAATTAATATATAAATAAGAATGAATCTATTTTATATTTAAATATGAATACCTGAGTAAATGTTGGAAGCGAGTAGGCAAAGGCACTTAATAAAAGAAATGAGTAATACATAATAATGATTTTCAAAGAGCGTGTGATAGATAAATTAAATAATTCAATGGTTCCAGTGCTGATTTTCTTTCCATAAAATTTGATCAAAACACTGCATTCTCCAATGTGCGGTAGAAGAACTCGAAATTGTATTAGATTCGTCACAATTTGCTGCTAAGATGTACACCAAGGAATAGGGAACCACGAAAGAATTATTTATAACTTAAATATTTATAAAAATAGAGAAAGAAAACTATAAAAATGGATAAGATATTAGTTCACCTTGATTGATCACAAGAATGAATTACAAAATCACTATTATCGTTATGGAAAGGAAAAAGTTGGCTGTCAAGTTCATATATAGTCTCAGTAACAAACAGCTATAAATATTATCTAAACTGGAGCAAAGTAATTGATATTCAATAAGCAGATAACATGAAAAAGTGTTATTTGTTGCATTCTAATCGCCTTATCATATTTTCAATGTTACTCTTACTTTCTATGGCTTTCATGATTTCTTAATGTGTACTGTTAGTATTTTTATCATGAATTGTATGGGAAATAAAAAAAAGGATTATTCTGTCCCTAAGAGGACTTCTTGATTTTGGCCGAAAACAATAAAGTGGCCTTTCACTGATTTACCATAATTTCAACCTATAAGTGAAAAAAAAATCATTCAATAAAAGCTTACAGTCCAGTAGGGTACTGGACTTAATCCAGGATTTAATTTTGGGGGAGGGGCTTCAGCCCGAAAGATTTTTTTTCATATATATATATATATATATATATATATATATATAATGATAATTAATTTGAAAAAAAAAAGAAAGAAATTAACTACCTATATAAAATGGTGTTTAAGTGGTTCTTGAAGTCCTATTAAATGTAATTACACGAAAAAAAATACTTTAAGACAAAGATTTAATATTTTTGTCTATAAAACATGGTCATATTTTACCATTTTGAGCTGGGCTTCAGCCTGAAAGCCCCTCCCTCCCCCTCGCAGATCCGCCTATGCAGTAGGGGATCCAAGATTTAATTTTGGGATGGAACTTTTTTATGTACATGTAGTTCATTATAGGTGTACAGTCCTTGGGGCGAAAAAATCTTGTAATTTCAGGTAAAGTAATGCCTTCAGAGGTAAATTTCTTATATTTTTTCTTGAAACACGCTTACATTTAAGTACATGTCTGTATATGCATTATAATTTTTAAAAAAATACATTAGGATTTTTTTTTTCGTTCTTCCCTTCCTTGATTTTCAGGCTATACGGAGTTTTCCCGGGCCAGGTGAGAGGGCGGAGGATTAACGCTAGATGCTGTGCACACACCTGCTCAGCCACCCGGCCCCAGAAGACATTGGGATTGTTTAAATATTTAGCAAACAAATACGGACCAATGAAAAAAAAAAAATCCATCGTTGGAGGCTTCAGCCCTAAAGTCCCCCCTCCCTTCGAGATCCGCCAGGCTTGATCGTCCAACTTTAGTTCCCTTGGCAGTGCTCTCTACTGCCATCTGACTAAATTTTCCGATATGAATCTTAAATTTTGTGTATAATTTGTTGATACTTTTAAAAATTATATCCACTAATAAGAAGTCAGCACCTTAACTGCTTGCTTTAACTACAATCAGATGGACAAGTAGCATTAGGAGAATTTTAGGTGTTGAATTTTATAATTTCAAAAACCAATGCTGTATTTGAGAGGCTACATTTATAATTTATTTCTTAATATCAAACTACTAGAAATCCATAATAGTCGTCTGACGTATACTGTTGTCTAAAATTATTTTAAGGTGAAGGTATTTCGAAGTCAATCCCGGATCTCAGCACAGAAAATAATGGATCACGAATACATTCTACAGAAGAATAGGAAATTTAACAGTTGTACATGGATACAATGTTAATAGTATTTACATCAATAAAAGTCATTAAATTAACTTGAAACTAAATGTATGTATATAAAGCTCGTTTGATGAAAACAATCAATAGTTTTAATTGAGTAAAAACGTTCTAGTAGCTAGAACAATTCAAACAAAAACTATTTTCTGCTTTGTACCAGTAACTTTTTAGGCATCGTACGTACGTATTTTTCTGTTACCCTCCCCCCCTCTCCTTCGCCTAGTAATAGCTCTGTATCATTGGCATACTTAAACATTAAATCTAAACAAAAAATATTCTTTCTGTTATAACTTATAATTCTTCTTTTTTTTTGCCATTATTATAATTTTTCAACTTTAAAATAAAATAGCGCACATATTTCTGACACTCTAATTTTGCAAAAACTGCGCCACTGGTCTCAAACAGATTTTGAGCCAAAAAAATAGGTCGCTATTAGAACCTGCAACATTGATATTTGTTGATTAATTTTATCTATATTTGAAATAATTATACTGGTGTTATGTTTATTACAAGTGTGTTTTGTGTTTATTTCTATATGACAAAAGTTTTCTCTTAGTAGATTTGATAATAAATTAATATTCTTAACTGGAGCTTCTGTTTGAATTGTAAGCTAACATTTTAAATTGATTATAAAAATTATATCAACATATTTTTTTTTCTAATTTATAACGTTTTCTTTTTTAGATTTACAAGACTTCATAGGAGTGAGTCTTCATTTTATTTTATAATAGCAATATTGTACAGTTAGTTTTAAGAAAATCATTCAAAGGTATTATTGATGGATCTCAGTTTCTTATAAATTTTGATTATTTGTCTACGCATACACTTGTTGGTTTAACTGAGAATATCACACTTCAAATCATTTAGTACTATTTATATTAGCATATTCAAGTGAATACACAAAAGATAAATAGTTGCAAAGCAAATTATTTAGATGAGGACCGCATGGGTTATAGGTGGTTCACAATCACTTCGATCACACTTGTTCTTGAAGTGCTGAATGCGTTTATCCCAAAGACTGTTTTCGGCATTTCATGAACTATTGTGACCAAAGTGATTGTGAACCATTTGTAACCTGTGTGGTCCTCATCTAAATAATTACCATTACAAATAATCAGGTCTGTATAAATTATTATTTTTTAATCATTGAGAGTTTTTTTCTATTAGTATTATTTAGAATATTGATTTATTACTATTGATATCATAACAGTTTTTAAACTTATATTATTTTTTACCTTCCTCTTGGCAAGATAGTTTTTGGATGTGAGAGAAGGTATATTTACTTATGGCATATGCACATTAGCAAGTAATGAACATGACAAGATGCTGGTGTACTGCCAATCACTAACTGTTCTAGGATTTAATTTTGGAGGGCTTCAGCCCGAAAGATTTTTTTTTTTGGTGTATATATTAGGATAATTACTTCGGGAGAAAGAAAAAAGCTAACTGCCTATATGAAATTGTGTTTAAGTGATTCTTTAAGTCCTATTAAATGTAATTAGTCAAACAATAATACTTTTAAAGATAATGTTTTTATAAAACATGGTTTATACTTTACCATTTTAGAGGGGCTTCAGCCCGAAAGCCCCCTTCTCCCTCCGTAGATCCACTGTGCTACAAATAAATATATTGTTAATTCATGAAATTCTTAGTGTTCCTCTAGTTTGCCCTTAATCCTAGAAGACCACTTTTGTCTTCTACACTTCATTTTCACTTCTCTAGCTGTTGGCTTCTTTCTCCTTAGAGTTAGCAGGTTTAAATGAGTAATTCTCATTGGTACATTTCATCAATAGAGAAAGGTTTCTTGGTTTGGTTTGTCCTTTGAGACTGTCTGAGTGTTTATATTTTATTATACTAAATTCATTACCCAATCCTCTTATCACAGGAGGATCCTGCTATGACTTGCTCTGCATTTCGAGCAACAGTTCTGTAGGCCTTGGTTACTCTGCAGGCATTCTCAGGGTTGTAGCAAATATTCTTTTCTATGGTTGCAATCTGAGTTTAGTTTGGGTATCTGACTATTCCCTTTCCTGGAATGCCTCACATCTCATTTTTACCTAATATGCAACATTTAACTTTTTTTTAAACCATTCTTTCTTTTATACCAAACCAGGTTATTCTCTCTCTTAGAAATATCTTTATTCCTTATACATTTATGATTATAAGGTGAGACATATTGGTCGCACCTTTCAGGGTGATGGTATTGTTTTGATTTTATAATGATAATTGTTTAGTAGTGAATAAGGAATTTTAGTACTAAAACTATTAAAAAATTAATCATTGATGGAAAAAAACCTAGAGAAAATTAACTCATTACAATCTTGAGATTAAGATTTGGTTCTAGCAAATATATATTTATTCAACATATTTAATATATACAGGAACAGGAAGAAGTCATTTTATTTTGTTCAACATATACATATATAAATAGGTATTTATCTTACCGTTAAAATGTACTTAAATATTTTGCAAAAAGTCATAAAGTTACATTTCTTGAAATTAAATCACCTAGAGCTATATGTTACATCAATTCATAGTAGACTAATAACTACATTTAATATATGGAAGGGTTCGTATCATTGTGGTACATTTACTTTGTTTTTTTATTGATAATAGTGATTGAATTCATAAAAAAATACTTAAAAGTTTAACTTCATCAAAACTGTCTGTAGTTACTTTTTCCTATAAACTGATGATTTATTTAACATAAAGAACATAAACATTACATAAAGAAAGCTGCTAAAACACTTGGTATTTAAATTTGATAAGAACTAAAATTATTTTCATATCGTTATATTATATAAGTTATTTTTCTTAAGTTAATAGTACTAGGTATTTCTTTTACAAATAAAATCGTTTTAAATAACAGTGTCATAAAGATACAATAAATATTTTTTCTTTATGTTCCGAATTTTATGATCTCTTTCTCTGTCCCAGACCTCCTCGTCCTGAATGCTGTCTTTTAGGGACTATTTCTGCATATATTTCAATACAACCTACTCTTTTTCCGAATTTGTTGTATATTATTTCTGCTTTGTATTTGTTGTAAAAAAAAATTGGCACAATGTTGATCTGTTCTTTTGTAGTATAGTTGTAGATATTATAAGTTCCCTGAAATATAATTTTATAAAATTAATTATGCACTGTAAATAATTTTAAATGAAATGTAAAGCATATATGAATTATCGAATGCTTGCAACAAATTGACCCACTTTATATTCATTAAGACTACAAAAGAGGATACAGACAGTGCTAAGATATAATAAGAAGTACTTATATGGGTAGAAGTTGGTGTGTTGTAGGTTTTCATTGGGGCATTTCATCATAATGAATTAATTAAGAATACCCACTGTCAGAGGTGCCCATCTCCCCTCCTCCCCACAAGGCCGATTGCGCAAAAACCTATCTCTTCCCCTCCTCCTAAGATATTTTATTGCTCACCTTTTTTTGAAAACAGAAGAAGCTAAGGTAGAATTAGAAAAATCGTAGATCATATACAATTACACTTGCTGCGGTCTGTTCTATGTTTCTCCCTTGTCTCTTAGTTGCTAAAATTCATAATCCCGTGGAAATTTGCCCCCCTCAAAAATTCAAAAACTCGTCAAAATATGACTCCCTCAAAAATTTTTATTTCACCACTTGCGCCTTGAAACCCTCCATCTGGACACCTCTACCCACTGTGTATAGGCAAGGTGCACCTTACTGGAGTAGAATTAAAGGTCCATTTATATTATAATTTAAATTATTATTCTTAGATAATTATAAGTGTGGATGATTCATATTAACCCCTATAGTATAATTTATTTGTATTAATTTAATTTAATTCCCTTATTTTATAGTTTGAATAATTCTTATTTGGATATAAAACATATGGATACTTGACTGTCAATAACTGGTTCTTCAATAGTTTGTTTCTTTCTTAGAAATATTTAATCACAGCTTTATTTAATTTTTATTAGTAACAAATTATTTATAAGATTCTGTAAATAATAGGAAGCATCTTAAATGTGTACTTACAGGTTTTATGGGGCACCCCTTTCCTATATTTCCTGCTTTCCAAATTTCCTTTGTCATTACTGGCAGGAGATTAAGTATTGTATTGCATGATTTTTTCACTACTTGAGTATAGGAATTTTCTTTGTATCCACCATTAGTAAACTGTGAAAGCTTTAATATGGACTGAAAATGTAGTTTGTATTAATTGAATTATATTCAAATTCTTATGGTTTGAAACTGTCCAATATTTGAATAATTGGATTGTATATGAATTATTTCTAATATTATTAAGTTAGAGAGTTAATTGTAATTGTGAACAACAATTTTTAGTAATTTTAGAAGGCCTCGGATGTTTCAGACAGTATAAAGTTTCATGTCATTGTATTGTCTTAATCTATCAAATATGATTTACCATTTGTATTTCTGTTGATCTAAGTATTTAGAATTTTTTTTTTCTTTTCCGATATCAATTCTGCAGGTTTGAATTACATAGTTAGGAACACAGTTGTGTTGTTCAAATGACCTCTTATTTTAACTGCCATTTTCTTTTAGCAAGTGCTAGGTCCTATTAAGGTTGAAATATAACAAAACTCCATACAAATTTCAATATCCTTGTTTCTAAGTTTAAAATAAATTTTAAACAGTCAACACTTTAAAATTAAAATTAAAATTAAAAATGATAGTTGGTAGTAATAATCGAGGGGAAAAGGAGTTCAAAACAATGCATTTTAGCCCAGTTCTTTGGCTCTCTTTATGACTACAAACAAATGATACAAGACGAAAACCATGTGAACAGATAAACTGAAAGTAAACGACATGGAACTTATATTCTCTCTGTTTACATGATTTTGATTTTTGTTCTACCTTAAGTTTGCAGATCTGAAGATTTTAATTGGACAATCTAACTCTTAAAAGATTAAACTAAGCTCTAACTTTGACAAATGAGTCACTAGTTCCAGAAATGAACTGACTTATGTTTTGTAGGTTTTGTTAAAAAGTGTTTGTAGCTTTGTTAAAAATTATTATTGTTCCATAAGTAAAGTGAAATCAAAAGTAGAATTATAAAATTGTAGATCATAGATAATTACACTTGCTATGATCTGTTCCATGTTTTTCAACTTGTTTAAAAGTTTCTCCAAATTGAATTCCAAAAGTGTATCGTCCAACCACAAATTCAAAAACCCATCAACATGGCCCCTTTCAGAAATTCAATACCCCATAAAAATCTAACCCTCTCAAAAATTTTGTTGATGAAAAATTTTCGTGATGGCATCCCCTTTTGGACACCTCTATTCCCTTGTTTCATTACTGAGTATTGGACCAACTTATAAAAAATTTTAGTACCTCAAGGTCCAAGCTTTTATAATAAGGAAAATAAAATTCTTATATTTTACTAATTAAGATGCATTGAAGGCAATGGAGTGTATTTTAGTAAATTAATGTTTTTGTTATTTCAAAATTAACTAATATCATGTAGACTGTTGGACCACTATTTTTTTCAGATTCCATTTATTGAAAATCTATATGCATCAATTTTGATGGAGGAATCTTGAATTTTTCTTTAAAAATTGAACTTATTGTGTCTTGAATAAAATTTGTATACTGTACATGAGATTTTTTTTATTATTAAAATTATATTGAGAGTTGGGGGAGGGGGAAAGAAGATGTTTCACTAAAAATATAAATAAATGGAAGCTACTTAGTCCGAAAAAGAAAAAACAAACTTTTATTTGTATTTTTGACATGGTGTATAATCCAAGACATTAAATGCTATTGAAACTCTAAAAAGTCATACTGTTTATTAATTTCATCTCCTTAAATATTTGAAATTATATTTACCGTAATGTCATCATTGAAAGGAGTTTTTAATGTCATATTGCCGTCAATGGCAGTAGTTTCTCGGTCGAGTTTCTTTATTTTGGCATTCATCACCACTTCTCTTGTCCCAGCATTAGTACATTCATCTATTTGCCGAAATATCACATCATAAGGGCCCTGAAAATACGACAAAGAAGGTCAATATGTTCATGTAAATTTTGAATTCCGTGCAGATTCTTCTAAAGTTTTTAAAATGAAAAAACATTCACCTAAAATATTTATTCATCAAATTTCACTCCTTATAAGATAATGAAGTAATATACTTTGCTTTCCTACAACCGAAGGTAGAAAAGCATTGTACTCGTGCCAGAGATTAAAAAAGGTTTTTACTAACAAATTTTTAATTCTGTGAAAAATTTCTACTTGCGTTTTGCGTTTAGATATTTTGACATGAAAGAGCAAATTTGGTTTTTTGTCTGCCGTAAAATTCATGTGACGGACATACTACCTACTATAGGTTAATCCGATTTTTATGTAATTTTCAGGAATTATTCAGTTGGGTACGTAGATGGTTCCAATCAGTATTCTTTAAATCCCATCCATTACTTCCGTTTCCTATGAGCAAACGCATCTTTGTGAAGTTTATGCGCATATGTGTATTTTCTTGTTCGCTTTGTTATTCGCCCATGCATCAAAAAATGGCTCGTTCGATTAGTCGCACAGTTGGAGAGAAGTTAGGGATTAGTGAAGAAATGATCCAGTATCAATTTTATCTAATTCCATAACTCTATTTTCGCTTACGAATGCGCAAACGTAGTTTCCTCTCTGTCCATATTTCAAAAACGACGCATTTGATTTGGCCTAATGTGGATGGAAATTCAGGAAATAACGTACCAATTTCATTGATTTTCATCAGAGGTGCCCATCCCCCCACTCCAAAAATTTTATTACTTTCCTCTTCTTAAAAATATTTCAAGCGAAAGTATAATTAGAAAAATCATAGATTATAAGCAATTATACTAGGGTATGTCATATGTTTTCGAATTAGTTCTCTATTTTGAAGCTTTCATTCCGTAAAATGTGCCTCCTCTAAAACTTGCCCCATGAAACTCCCTTCTGGGCACCATTGATTTTCATCATTAATTGATGTAATTGTTAAGAATGTTACTCCGTGGTACAGCCCCCTTTTTATCGAAATATTCCGCAACACAAACATCCGCCTGAAACTTCGCAAGTAGTTTCATTCCATCGTAACCTACAAATATTTTATTTACGAAAACTCTTGGAATTGGAGCTATTTCAATCTGGAGGGGGACAAACTTTGTTTATTTCATTAGATACTAAAAACTCGTAAATACACATTTGCTTTCTACTTGGATCGTGAGATAATTTGATCATAAAATCGATAACAAAGGTTGCCTTCAAAAATATTGAGCCGTTTGTCCTATATAACATCGTTATTTTGAAATTTTTGGGGGTGTAGGTCACGCCAAACGGCTCAGTATTTTTGAAGGCTACCTTTGTTATCGATTTTGTGATCAAATTGTCTTACGATCCAATTAGAAAGCATATGTGTATTTACGAGTTTTTAGTACCTAATTAAATAGACAGAGTTTGTCCCCCTCCCCTTCAGATTGAAAACGTCCTAATTCCAATAGTTTTCATAAATAAAATGGTTGTAGGTTACGATGAGATGAAACTATTTACGAGGTTTCAGGCGGGTGTTAATAATTCGATAAAAAGCTGTCTGTACCACGGACTATGTAGTTATGGCTATGAAATGAGGAAGGTAGTAAACATGAAAATGAGACAAACATGGCATGAGGTTATATTATTTTTAAACTTAATGGTTTATTATACGTGTTTTTATTGGATACTTCTATTCAGTTTTAAATTAAATTATGATCCTAATGAAATGTTTAAGTATATGTATATTTTGTTATGTGCCCAATAGAAATGGTGAGGACTAATAATACTGGTAGACGTTTTTTTATAATAATAAAAACTTTAAAATAGTATACTAATATTATAAAATACTCACTGCTTTATTGCTATAATCCGCATAGCAATGTAATATAATCAAAATGAACACTATCAAGCATTTCCATAGGTTCAGAGCAACCATATTCTGTTGCACTGTTCCTCGTTAAGTGAAATATGCTTAAAACATCGGGTGTCAACGCTAACGACACAAGGAAATGGTACTCTTATCATCAGGTAACAGCTAGTTGTTCTGAAAACAAAATTATTTTTTAACGACTATATTCAGAAATTATGAATAGATGTATCATTTAGGTTTTCAGGAATAATTGACTTTTTGATTCGATCTCTTCTACGAGGGTGAATCTAATATAAAGTTTATGTTTTATTATTATTTTATATATAAACATATAAATCAATGACATGACAAGCTGGGCGGGTTGCCAACTAATGGGTATGACCTCCTCAACTTCTTCATTGCTTTCGAATTATCTTCCAAGGAGTAGAAGATTAAGTATTTCATTTTGGGGGAACTAAGGTTTTTTACATTCACTTACCTATATATGTAATATATACTTATTCACTTACCTATATAGTGAGGGAAAGTATTGCAACCGTGAAAATTTTCTAATCTGAGTTTCTTTCGGAAATACACGTTTGAGGTTTCCTGAATCTAAATAACCAAGTCCCACAAATGGTCTGTGTATATGTATGAATGTGGCAAGTCTAGCTCAAAAACGAAAAATAGCACGAAACTGATATTACATATTTAAGATAGATATATGTCTTAGATGTGATAGCAACTTTTTCATTAAAATCGACTAACCGGAAGTGGCACTTTATATATACAGTTACACACATTTCTACAATTACAATTCAAAAACGGCTCCAACGATTTTAATTAAACTCGATGTATCATAGTGCAAATAAAGTGGTCTTTAATATCATTGAGGTCTTATCCCCATTGATGTCACTTTACAGAGCTTAAATGCTTAAATGTTCAACATGTCTTTCTCTAAAGTACCTTTAATTTGGTTTATTTTAAATAATTAACTATATTTCATTATTTAGAGTTACGGAAAAAGGGTAAATATAACTTTTCAAAGAATTTGATAATTGAAAAATGGAGAAAGATAAAATGTTCATTTAGGTCGAAAATGAATTTCTAGAAATATTATTCAAAAGTTATACCTATAATATATCGTTGGAAAGCGGAGAACTTGAGAAAAAAACAATATTATAAATAATAATTTTTGAAAACTTATATTATTTAAAGGATATCATACGTTTTCAAGGAAATTAAATGAAATTTTCTTACTAAATGAAAACTTAAAAAAAAATTTTTAAGTTTGAAAAAAGTATTTAAAATCAACGGAATTAAGGCAATGACATTGTTTTAGATACTATTTCATTGTACTTGTGTGAAAGAAGAAGTGAAATATAAAAATATTTCATGGATATGTTTATAACCTTAAATATATTTACTGTAGTTTAATAACTCTAGATCTGATAATATATTTAAATAAATAGGTATCTATCGTCCGCATTTCGCATTCACTGGTTGTCATTACCATTATGACAGGTGTGAATAAAAAAATTAAAGTTAAAAAAAATTGTTATAACATTCATATCCTACAGTGCTGAAAAATATATAATACAATTTAATAAACAAATTAAAACATTAAAATGAATAAATATTAGAATACACTTTACATTTTGAGATATAACTAAATTAAATAGAAGGAAATTAGAGACTGAATTATACTGGTAAATGTTGTAAATTTACAATAAATAATTAAGTTGTGCACTACGACTTTTTCAAAACTACAATTTTCGTAGTTGTAATAGTGCTGATTGAACATAGAGGGAGAAAGAGTGGGTAGAAATTTAGTCGAAGTTGTTCGGTTTTTATAGACCTTGGTTTTTACTGATCGATTGGTAACAAGTTTTGATATATTATATATGCCATATATCTTTTTGACAGGCAATACGGATTTTTTCTCAGACCAGAGGAGGGGACGGAGAATCAATGCCGGAGTTAAATTTCTCCAGTCTCGGGAATCGAACACGTAATCCCGCCCTCAAGAAAATATATATTAATTTACATTTGAAAAAGTGTAAATCTCTCTCACTCTCTTCATTGCATATTGTAATGAAAATTGGTAAATCTAAAATGTTATTGTATTTTAGTCTGTACTTTCTAACATTAAACGCATTCAATCTTTTCAGTCTAAAGTCCTCCGAACAATTAATGCTCCCTTCTATGTAACCAATAAAACGCTCCATAATGACCTTCATATCCGTTTTGTTCTTGACCTAATCACACATAAATTTTCCAAATTTCACCAGAACCTCGCTCATCATCCAAATCCTGTAGCACAATCCCTATCTAGCTGCGGCCATCCCTACAATCCTCCTCGGAGATTAAAACGGCAGTGGCTCCGCGACCTTTTGTAAATATATATATATATATATATATTGGAGTACTGGCAATGGCCAGATTCTCCATTCAAGTTCTGAGCGTCTGTTGCTCTAGTGCCCTCCATCAGTCTCCACTGGCTTACAATATTGCAATGACGCGACTGGGAGAGAAGCACTGGGATCTCCTGGAGGCCTGCCTTGGCTTCCACATTTGGGGGCAAAGCATGACTCAGAGCCCCCTGGGCGAATGTTAATACTGTATATAGGTGTTTTGTCTATTTTTATTTCATTTAGTTTCTCTCTAAAATTGTTTTTTTTTTTTACATATGTAAGTTAATTTTGTTATTCTACTTTCTACAACTCTTTTTCTTTTATTTATATTTTAGTTACCATTTGTATGTATATATTGTGTGAATGTGTAATGTAGCCCTAATATTAATGCCCTCCAATGTGGTAGAATGTATTAATTTTCAACGAATAATAAAAAAATAACAAAAAATAAATAAAAAAAAGAATTTGTCTGTAAGGAAAGGTAAGATCAATGAATCTCTCTCTCTATATATATATATATATGTGTTACTTTTCGGTTCAGTATTAAAATGTTGACTTGTTTATGTGAGTGAAGGTTTTTGAATTTTTGAAATATTATCATTGACTAAATGGATGGTTTTCATACGAATGCAAAATTTCATCAAATAAGGTAGCTGAAATGGAATATTAAAATTATAATGAGCGAACAAAGGAAGCAGATTATTTACCATAAATAGGGTTCCCAATATGTGGATTTTTTTTGTATTCTCTTACATCCTCGAATATTTTCCAATTAGCTCATTATGTAAGTACCCAATTTGATCGGTGGGGCACTCAAAGGAGACCGAACAACCAAGCCCGCACCGAGTTAGCCAGCTGGCGGCAGATCGATGGCCCTGAGTCACATCCTGCACACTACACTAATTGTCCACAGCTCCAAGTCGGTGGTTCTTGGTCGCCGAGGTTGAGACTGAGTAACTGGAGGCTAAGTGCAAAGCTTATAATATTGTTAGCTAGCATAAGGTGTAAACACGATTTTTGATCGACCTTTAATTATAGAAAGGCTGAGAGGGTACGGACGTCGGTAGTGTTGCTCAAATGCGAGACCGAGACGAGTCTTGGTCTTGCAAACTCAATCTTGGTCATGGTCTTGGTCTTGCGCAACAATCTTGCAGTCAGTTATTAGCTTATTAATTTAGATTTAATGTAGATGTAATTTTTTAGATAGAAGAAACCTAACTAAGCTCGAATGAATAATTAGAGGAGTTAAATGCAAAAGTATATTGGTTGTACCAATCATTAACATATAGTAACTAAAATTTTCGAGTATTAGTAACTATTTTGCCTTAATTTTTATATAAAAATTCGATTTTTTTTACCAGTCCTGGTCTTGGTCTTGCAACAGTTAGGCGGCCTTGGTCTTGGTCTTGCAAATTGTATTTTGGTCAACACTATACGTGGGGTCACCGATTTCAATGAAAAGTTTTTTTGGTGATACAATTTCGAAAAATATTATACCCATGTCCGAAAGTTCTTGCCAATATCCGATAGGAGCCGAGAAAAATATTGGATATTAAACATATTAAATAACCATTATTACTAATAAAAATTATCCAGACAAATCTTTTTTTTTAAACTTGGGATGACGAGTTCTTACCTTAGTCCATGGGAATTAAGATTATTGAAAAAACTATTTCTATATTTTCGATTCGATCTTGGTGTTTTGATTATGTTATAACATATTATTATAGGCCAATAGATCACTAAATTTTACTTTCTTTCTGTAATTATACCTACTGCGTTTCGGCACCAGTTAGCCTGAACGCACTCTAATTATAAAATACTAGTAGACCCGTGCGATAAATTCGCATTGCATGTTGTTATCAAATGTCAAATTAATAAGAAAATAAAATAATGCAAGGTATCAAAAGCTATAGAAATCAATTATTACTTTATCGATAAATATAATCGACAAAAGAAACAAAAATTAATTTAAATCTTCATTAATGTTTGTAACCAACATGGTTACAAATTTCAATAAGCTGTATCTTTTCTAAGAATTGTCCGATTTCGATGATTTTTTTTTTCCTTTTGTAGGGGCGAAAAATGTGTACTTTTTTAGTTATTCGCAAATAAAGTAAGTTTTCTTTCATAACTTGTTTACCTGAATTTTCGGGCTGATTGGACTATTTTGCGCGCCTGAAGGAGAAGGAAGCTTTCGAAATTGGTGGCTCAATCTTGAGATTTGATGAAGAATTATCGATGATATGGCTTGCCGATCAAAAAAACCATCGGTAAATAATATAAACTCCTCCTCTCTCGATCATAGAGGCCTCAAGTCGACGAAATGAAGCATGTATTCAATGATAGTACTGCAATTACGCTAAGGTTGTTTGGATGCGAACCCTATGCCTTGCGTATCTCGAAAATACTTCGTTTTTGGGCTTGAAAACGCAGGATCCGATAGTTCCGAAGGAACTGTACGCATCAAAATCTTCAAGGTCCCGTATCGATCCTACAGACTTACCACCGTTCCGGTATTGAAGCCTAGCAAAATGTTTGTATCGACTTTATTTATTTTAGAAAGAAAAACGATAGTGGAGAATATGATTCGCTAACCCCCCGTGAAATTCTTTATCCAACGGTACCCCCTTCACGGTATTTGAGCATGACAGGAGCTTATATTTGGCACAAAACCGATTTCGATCCTTACTGAAGTAATATATGTGAGGATGTGAGGATATTTGATTA